CCCCCAGGTATCACTGTATATTATAGGGTCACTCTGGACTGGACTAACTCCCATCCCCCTCTGTGACCCCGGACCTCGTCACAGAGCTGTCAATCAAACCTGTTTTTTGCACTGCTGCTGCTCAGTTACAGAAAAGGACATCATCGAACTTCTGCTGCTCAAAGGTAATAGAGAAATTGTTCATTTTTCGTTTTTGCATGATATTACAAGTTATGCCTTTACATAAGCGTTCAGACCGCGTGCATTCCCGAAATTCGGTCACTGATTGGATAACTGTTAGGTTACATCAGTGTAGACATCGGCGCAGATGATTCAGCATTTAATCTTTGCGTCTTCAGCAGCTCCTGTCGGCGAGCTCTCTACAGCGCGTGCATAATTATGCAAGTCGATATTCTGAACGTATTTCTTTTCCCAAGCACGTTTTAACAATTCCAAACCAAATCTTAACTAATTCTATTAAATCTGTACGTTATATAATTATTTAAATATAGCCTAGGGGCTTAACGAGGGCTGGAAGGGAAAAAACACCTTATATTCATATGTGCATAAATTATTAAACAGGTTTTATTTACTAAAATGTCAGAAATTGTTAAGTTCCCACGAGAAGAATGCAGTACTATAGAAATTGCACAAGTGTAAGAGAAAAGATGCATTTAACCGCTAAAGACTTCAGACAGTTTCTGGTGGTTTTGCACTCATTTCTCCAGTGCCACCACTTTCCTGGAGGTGTCAGGTTTATTGAGACTTTGCTTAGGTAAACAATCCTGCAACATGAACCCCACTTAATAAGAATCACTAGTCATTAAATGGATAAAGAGTTGTTGTTTACTTTTTTTGTCATGTTATTTTTTAATTCTATTTGTACGTCGACAGTTTTACTACAAATACCATGGTTGAACTAGGGTTAGTGTAGCAAAACCATGTTTAATTTGTGGCTCCCATGCTTTAATGTTTGTACGCCCCCTTCCTTTGGCATGGCCTTTTCCCGAACCTGCAGACACCAGCTGGAGAGAAGAGATACCACTGTGGAGAGATGGCAGGGAGAGTCAAATGTATGTGCTTCTATATCTTTATTTTTCCACAATAAACTCATCCGAGCGCACAGTGTATTAAGCGTGTTATGTTACTGAGAAATAATCAGGACGTTCTTCAGCTGTGTACAGGAAGCCTTGCAGCGTGGTCCACTGCTTGATTTGTCTTAAGCCCCAGATCAAAATTGACCATCATTTAAGAAATTCCTGCTTGCGGGATGCGGAGGATGGCCGTATCCAGGAGGAAGTCCTGAGGGCCAAGGAGTCACAAGAGAAGTGGGCAAGAGAGGGGAGGGTTATGAATTTCTCACAGGTCAGGAAATTGGTCAGGGAGGACCCGTCTTGTGACTCCTTGGCAGAGTACTTCCACTCAAAGGGATTCTTGATCCAAGAGGGGCATGACAGGTAGGGAAGTGTGTGAACGTAGAGTCAGTTAGGCATTGTAATTCATTTGTGATGGGTGTAATAGACTGTACAGGGGTGTGATAGTCATACCATAGTCATGGACCCTTTGATTCCTCCAGCGCTGCAAGCCAGGAGTCCGAAATCCTTGCTCTCGCAGAGGAGGACATGGCTGAGGTGTCCAACCACCTCAGCCAACATAAGGGGGTCCCTGCAAAGAGCAAGACGGACTTCCGGAGCTTCTGTCTTGCCACAATGATGTGGGTTCATCACCTTGGTCCTGCCAGCATTAAAGAGTTCAAGGTGAGCTCACAGCTGACGCATTTTAGACGTGTTCAAAACACAAATATAATACATTATATTATATTATATTATATATGGTCTTCTGAGGTTGAAGAATACACATCAGAACCTTATCGTTTCTGTTTGAATGTTTTCACAGGTCCAGGAGTGGAACGACAGAGTGCCGGAGGCAGACGGAGTCACTGTAACGCTGTCCAAAGGAGCTATTGAGTTAAGCAGAAAAGAAGAACATGTAAGATGATCACACTACACAACACACTATCAGTTCATTAACAGTTGTGTGACAGCGAACACTTAAAATATGCGTAAATCTTTGCCGTAGTGGTTGGACTGCTACTTTGTTCATATCCGGCCAGAATATTTAAAGGCCCAAACTCCAGAGAGAGACGACAGGGACCGGTTCTTCCTCGGGGCTTCAGGTGTCCCTCTTAGCAACCCGACAGCCGATGTGCAAAGGCTACGACAAAAGCAAGTATTGTAGTGTTTCATGCGGATACGGTTGGGTTTCACGACAGGCCATGACGGACATTATACCTTCATTTCTCCCACCAATGCATGTCCGCAGGTATGTCATGAGGCTCCAGGAGAGAGCTGTGCCGCCACCAGAGCCACAGGCGGGACTGACGGTTGATGCCCCCAGCTCATCTGCGGAAGGGGAGGCACCACACATGCCGGAGAGGTACAGAACGTTTACATATACACACATATATATTTTTATTTATTTATTTTTTTTTTACACTAACTGTACTTCAACAATGGTCTTTGTAGTAAAACTATTGATGTACAAATAGATTTTTTTTCCCCCTCACAGGACAGCAGCACCTACCGCAGCAGCCCAGCTCCTGACTCCTCGGTTTTGGGGTGCCTTTGAGGACCGATTTCCCGTTACCCTTCACGGAAAGCCTCCAACAAGGGCGCAGGCAGCAGAGGCAGGATTTATGGACCGCAGCTACTACCACTACTGGAGGAGGCTTCAGTACAAGCTGCGGGTACAGTATATTCTTGGTAAGTGCTTACAATGGTGCCCGTCACATTATGGTCTACTTTAAGTGAGCTGTGTTTGGTTAAAACTCACCCAAGTCCTGTTCCCCAGAGCAGTCCACTGGCAGGACCAGCCAAAAACCCCTGGCATCTCACGTCCAGCGTGCCATTGCCAAGGAGAATGCGTGGACCACCAACGTGCCCTCCGTGGACAGTGTTCTGCTGGCATGGGTGCCCTGCCAGGAGCCATCGGCTGCAGAGAATGATCCTGTGATCATTGCCTCCGTGGTCCAGCAGAAATGGAAAGGGCTGGCCATTAAGAGCTTTGAGGGGAAAGGCAAAGGTGTGTCACAGTTTTGACTACCCACTTTTTGAACACGATTGTAATCTTATTTTTTAAAATTTTGTAAAGAGTGAAGCGGTTTGCTCAATAGCACGTTCATTTACCTTTGTGCAGGGGTCATTGCCACCATGGAGTTCAAGAGGAACCAGGTCGTGTGTGACTACCACGGTGAAGTGGTCTCCAAGCAGGAAGGGGAGCGGAGGCTGGAGACCCTCACCGGGGAGCCGTCATACCTGTTTTTCTTTAAGGGAAAGGGTGGCAAGCCTCTCTGCATCGATGCCCAGAATTTCCCCTGTGACTGCCACCCAGACCAGGAGACTTATGGGAGGAGGATGAACCATTCCTGCAGCAAAAACAATGTGCGGCCTCAGAGAGTTTCTCTAAAATTTCTGGATGGTCTCAGGGAATGCGTTCTCTTCTTCGCTCTGCGGGACATTGCCGTCAGCGAGGAGCTCCTGTGGGATTACGGGGTTCGCAGATCTTCATTCCAAGGAGAAGGGTGGGATCTTTCTTGGCTTGATGACTGACTTGGATCATGTAGCTCTTCTTGTCCACATCTCCTTGTCACACACATATATTTTCCCAATGTATAAATGTAAATACTGTAGCAAAAATAAAACAAAAAGTAAGAGTGTTGCACTGCATACTGTATCCACTTTCGAAATAAAGTGGGTCATTCCCTTTCAGTGCATCTCAGCGTGTGTGCTTCCTTACTTTACTGTTAAGTAATCAACTTCTGTTTAGTAATGTGTAAAGAAAAAAAATGTTATATATATATATATATATATATATATATATATATA